TTAGGTAAAATAACTAGGAATGACGATGTAACTAATGAATTTATTATACAAACAAGTTGTTAGTAATAATGTATCTTAATAAGGATGCTCATATGATCAGAATATAATCTTCTCAATACCTTCGCTCGTGACATATTCTGGAAAATTAGACAGAACGTTAACTAAAGATTGGATCGCTATATAATGTGCTTAAATCTGCACTACACTAGCGGCAGTACACGTAGATATTTTGCGGCCAGTCCATAATGGGTATGTAATAATTGAGTCCTATCAACAATAAATCTTAGAGATTCACTGGAAGCCGGAGATGGTTTTTAATCATATGAATGTATACTCAATACATTATTCAAAAGCTTCGCTTGTATGATGTAGGCATGCTAATTATTCTATCGAAATAATCATGAAAACGTCTATCGTTAGCATTGATTGATTTAGTTTAGGTAGAGGGAATTTGAAGTTAATCTTAAGGTGACAAGAATACTGGCGCCAATTGAATGGTTACCCTTAATCATAGTTTAAATACACATGCAAAATGGCTTTTTCCGTAAGCTTATCAAAGTTAGTTTGAATTATTTAGTGTTGCTTTTTATTGCCTTATTTCAGTATGAGGATATATTATGTATGATAATTAATTATATTATACATAAGTAGTAACAATTATAAATATGGTAGAGACTTATTGCATTGTTCCTACGAGGAAAATGATGAAAGGCAACACTAATAGTAACAATGTATAATTTGATTTTTAAAATTATACAGACATAAACATTAAATTGTCTGACGATTTGATAATCTATAGCGTCATGCAAGCAAATGACTAGTGAAATGGTATTTGCGTTTACATACGCCTATTTGAACTTTGACAATATTTTCACAAGCTTAAATACTTTTTGATCGATGTCATAACGTCATGGAAGGTCTCTGCATTATTGTAATAGATTACTATTGCACGCCACCATTTATTATATCGATCGTATATGAGTCCATCAGGAATTCCTACTTTACATTTTTATCATGCTCTAATCTGTGGCATCATTATGCTAATCTATTCTTTCCCGAGATTTTATTAGTTATTGAGTTACTAAGCTACTTTCTACTACCAGTCAATTGTTGACAATCTCTTCGATACTCACATTAAACAGAGTCATATCTTAAAGCTGAATATCCTTTCTCGTTGAACTCTACTCGAGAAAATAAGTGTAGCTCCTTTATAGCATTCTATCCACAGTTGAAAACATATTTCTTATATAACAAGTTTTATTCCTGCATTACGATGTAATATTAAGATAGGTATTTATACGATACTTTAATCATCATTATTCATAACAGATGACCTTGGAAATTTCAGCATCATGAGCTATTTGCTTTCTGTTCAAAGTAGTTCCCGATTCGTCACTACTTCTCGTTACTTTCTACTATGGCATATCTATTTGTAGAGTTCGTTCAGAGCCCCATTTTTTCTTCTTTAGAACTTTAGTAAAATGGATGGTAAGGTGATTCGATGATCATTTTTTCGGTTACAACTCTCAAGTCCAAATATCGTTAGTACTCGTCTCACTAACGACTTTTTCAATGTCAAAAGAACATATGTTGGAGAAATTTCCTCCGTCCCTTTCCAATTGCCAAAAGGATTTCTTCCTAAGTCAACTACTTCCTTATGATCCTAATGTTAAGAAAGAAAGGAAATTAATCAATGGCCTCAAAGAATATCTAGTGCTTCTAATAGCTACAGAACATGTTATGGAAATGCTGAGTAAGCGTGATATCAATAAGCTTGACCCACTTGTGGGAGAAAATGCCTGCCAAATTAGAGCAATTCAGACAGCCCTTGTCTTCCTTAAGCGTCCGTTAGTAAACAGCCAAGTTCTTTATCCAAGATAAACAGGATCAAATTGCAATACCTAAGCTTCCTGCAAGATATTGAGCGAATGATTAAAGAAGGATTTTCTTTATCCAATTTACTAAAAGAAAAGAATATTGAACTCAATTTAAACTTTGATAAAATTTTCCTAATTGAACCTTATCTGCTTACAAAGGTGAAATTAGTCTTGCCTCCAAGACAAGAAAATCCCATCGTTAAAAATGAGTCTACTGATATCTAAAAAGTCATGGAAGTTAGCAATGTAGGATCTACGTTTGCTAATAAGCTAGTAGCCCGATTAAGACAGAATCTATCAGAGCACTCAGTGCAATTTTTTTCTGGAGTTAGCCTATCAATTAGAATTGGAAGAGAGTATAAAACAAATGATCTCGGCAGACTTTGTAGTAATGCATCGCAAGCTCAAGTGCTTACCGTATTTTTGAACGACAAAGGTAATTACGGAAGCGGCACTATCTTATGGTATTCCTTTCGTTATGCAGATTCAGCTAAAGAGCAAAGATAGAAATTATCAGCTGGAACATGAGATCTATCTCTACTTTGAAGCGACTTCGTCAAAATATCAGAATGTTTGTCCTTCTTCTCTACGAAAAAAATCTCCAGCAATTGATGTGGAATGTAATACTTACAGAGATTTTAGCAATCTTCTGTCCATAAGCGACTGGACAAAGAAAATAACCACTTCAGGCCCAGCTGATTTACTATTAGCTTATGCAGCAGCAAATAGGCAGTATCCTGATGAAACATCTGAAATCAATATTCAGTACAAAAAAGTTTAAATTTTATCGAAAGAAAGAAAGCTTTGGAATGGGTTTCTGATTACAAAATTCTTCCCGTTGTTTTTATTGCATATCTACTGTGATCATACCGAGAATATGCTATAAAAAAGTTCGAAATTAGAGCAACTACTTCATTTAAAGTAGCAACAGCCATTGTCGATTATCAAAAAAATTCATCGTTGGACTATCTCATTTTTCGTTGCCGATTATACGGTAGTATGAGCATTCTATAAGTCATAACGTGCCTTTATTAAATGTCCTATTTTAATGAAGAGATGCAGTAGCATACTGCAGGTATGAAGTGAATATCAGATTAATACGTTATCGTGTACTCTATTCTACTATGCAATGTGCCTTAATTTGTTTATTTAATCTGTATCGTCTACGAAATTCTTAGCTAATGTCGGCTATTTGAGCTAAGAGCTTTGAGCAATAAATCACTTTTCATTACTCCGCTTTGTTGTTGTTTCATAAATATATTGTACAAATTGATTGGTATTTGAAAGAAAGTAAATAAGTATAAATGAAATATATTTTAATAGAGAGAAGTTCTGAGTCTCGCCTTGCATTCAAAGTGAATCCATTATCAACTAACAACTTCAAACTACTGTATATTTACAAGTATACGACGTAGTAAGTACCGCTCCATTGGAAATATCTTGCGAATATTAATAAGTAAATTTTGCTCATTTTTAGATTTCTGAATAAAATGTAAAAGCAAATTTCTATTATTAGCCAATAATCACTGGTACCTATACGGTCGATTCAATCAGTATCCTAGCCATGCCATAGCTATGATCTACTAACGACTGTATCACAAATTGTAGCCTAGCGACGTAATGAGTACAATAATTGCTCGAAGGTCGATCAAAAGATTTATTTGATTAAAACTATCTAACTAATAATTATTATCACCGCAAACAGAGCATGACAGAAACCAATATGCAGTATATATGTGATGCATATGATTTCACTATCACTATACAATATACAGTATAGCAGTATTGAGTTCATCAAGTCTCGTAAAGACTATTAATGTAAGTAATCATTGACCGATATTATTTTATAATCATATCACAGTATAATATATTAAGGTATAATGCGACTTAATTCTTGAGATCAACTACTTGCAACAGAAATAGAATAGG